TCCCAAGGTCGTGCAATTAGTTTCTATAGGGATTTGAACCCAGTCTCTTACATCCTTGAATATATTCCGCATTTAAAATCTTGTCTGGACAGTGAATCTATTTCTATTTTCTTAATATAGCCTTCTATCCATTGGATAGCATTTGATCTGGAACAACACTGACACCTGCAGGCCAAAGAGGGAACAACATGTATTGAATCACTTTTTGAGAAGTTTCTTTGACTTTGATAATGCTAAAGAATAAAAAGAATGATTGATTACATAGTATCTGTGGAGCCCCCAGGAGCGCAGTGGGTTAAACTGCTGATCTGCTGAACTTGCTGACCAAAACGATCGGTGGTTCGAATTCGAGTGGGGTGAGCTCCCACTGTTAGCTCCAGCTCCTGCCAACCTATCAGTTCGAAAACATGCAAAAAATGTGAGTAAATCAATAGGTACCGCTCCAGCAGGAAGGAAATGGTGTTCCATGCAATCATGCCGGCCACATGACCTTGGAGTGGGGTGAGCTCCCGCTGTTAGCTCCAGCTCCTGCCAACCTATCAGTTCGAAAACATGCAAAAAATGTGAGTAAATCAATAGGTACTGCTCCAGCAGGAAGGAAATGGTGTTCCATGCAATCATGCTGGCCACATGACCTTGGAGTGGGGTGAGCTCCTGCTGTTAGCTCCAGCTCCTGCCAACCTATCAGTTCGAAAACATGCAAAAATGTGAGTAGATCAATAGGTACCGCTCCGACACGAAGGTAACGGCGCTCCACGCTGTCGTGAATTGCAACACTCAAATAGGGGAATACCAGACAGGAAACAATCATGGTCAGCTAACACCTCCTAACAAAAGATTACCCCAGGCAGCAAGCAGCCAGGCTTTGAAGCTGCAAGGCTATCAATGCCAATCAAGCAGGCCACTTGATTGGCACTGAAGAGCCTTGCAGCTTCAAAGCCTGGCTGCTTTGAAGAGCAACACACCAAACAGGGGAATACCAGACAGGAAACAATCATGGCCAGCTAACACCTCCTAACAAAAGATTCCCCCAGGCAGCAATCAGCCAGGCTTTGAAGCTGCAAGGCTATCAATGCCAATCAAGCAGGCCACTTGATTGGCACTGAAGAGCCTTGCAGCTTCAAAGCCTGGCTGCTTTGAAGAGCAACACACCAAACAGGGGAATACCAGACAGGAAACAGTCATGGTCAGCTAACACTTCCCAACAAAAGATTACCCCAGGCAGCAAGCAGCCAGGCTTTGAAGCTGCAAGGCTATTCAATGCCAATCAAGCAGGCCACTTGATTGGCACTGAAGAGCCTTGCAGCTTCAAAGCCTGGCTGCTTTGAAGAGCAACACACCAAACAGGGGAATACCAGACAGGAAACAATCATGGGCCAGCTAATACTTCCCAACAAAGGCAGCAACCAGCCAGGCTTTGAAGCTGCAAGCCCATATAACTCATATTAAAATACACAAAACGAAGATTAAACAGAAGACGGAAGTGTAAAATTGGTCTGGGTAGTCCAGCCGGAAGAGACCGGCCTTCCCTTGTGTCTGAAATTGCGACAGCTGATCTAGGCAGAGACCCTGATTTGTGTGTGGCGTCTCCTTTCGCTTTGCCCTTTGCTGTGCCTCTCTCTCCTCCTCCTTGCTCTCCTTTCTCTCCTTCCCCCTTTCCAAGGGCCTCCCCTTTCTTTCATTCTTCCTTCCTTCCATCCTCCTTTTCCATCCCTCCCTTTCCTCTCTTCCCTCCCTTTCTTTTTTCCTCTCCTTCTCTTCTCTCCTTCCTTCCTTTTTTCTACTTTCTCCACTTTCGGTTTGGAGAAAAACAAGAGTGACACTTCTTCCTCTGTGGGAACGCCTCTTCTGCTCGGCTTGGCACTCCACATCTGGAACAGATTCCTGCTTCCTGCTTTCGGGGCCGTTCGGATTGGCTCGGAAGTCGGAGGAAACCGAGCTTCAGATCTGGAGGCAGGTCTGAACACTCCATGTTTGACTTTCGGGACAAGTCTGCGCTCGGCTTCCTATTCGGTTTGGGCTCTGTTTCACGTTCTCTGCCACGCTCTTGGTGCGTTTAGTTGGGTGTGAGCCACTTCTGCACTCCGCTTCCTCCTCGAGGACATCCCAACTTGATATTATTGTCTGTTTCTACATTAGGAAGGTCTTCATGACAACAGGCGTTGGTACGTGGTTTGTTGACAACTCCTCGCTCCACATTTGAGGCGAAATCTGCCCGAGGACAACCCCGCTTCCTCTTCAAGAAGACACCTTCGCCTCTGGGTTCTTCTTTGGAGACAACTCCGCTTCCTCTTCCAGAAGACACCTTCCCTCTGGGTTCTTCTTTGGAGACAACTCTGCTTCCTCTTCCAGAAGACACCTTCCCTCTGGGTTCTTCTTTGGAGACAACTCTGCTTCCTCTTCCAGAAGACACCTTCCCTCTGGGTTCTTCTTTGGAGACAACTCCGCTTCCTCCTCAAGAAGACACCGTCCTTCTGGTTCTTCGTTGGAGACAACTCCGCTTCCTCCTCAAGAAGACACCGTCCTTCTGGTTCTTCGTTGGAGACAACTCCGCTTCCTCCTCAAGAAGACACCGTCCTTCTGGTTCTTCGTTGGAGACAACTCTGCTTCCTGTTTGGTTTGGAGACAACTCTGCTTCCTCTTCCAGAAGACACCTTCCCTCTGGGTTCTTCTTTGGAGACAACTCTGCATCCTCTTTCCTCAAGAAGACACCGTCCTTCTGGTTCTTCGTTGGAGACAACTCTGCTTCCTGTTTGGTTTGGAGACAACTCTGCTTCCTCTTCGAGAAGACACCTTCCCTCTGGGTTCTTCTTTGGAGACAACTCCGCTTCCTCCTCAAGAAGACACCGTCCTTCTGGTTCTTCGTTGGAGACAACTCCGCTTCCTCCTCAAGAAGACACCGTCCTTCTGGTTCTTCGTTGGAGACAACTCCGCTTCCTCCTCAAGAAGACACCGTCCTTCTGGTTCTTCGTTGGAGACAACTCTGCTTCCTGTTTGGTTTGGAGACAACTCTGCTTCCTCTTCGAGAAGACACCTTCCCTCTGGGTTCTTCTTTGGAGACAACTCCGCTTCCTCCTCAAGAAGACACCGTCCTTCTGGTTCTTCGTTGGAGACAACTCCGCTTCCTCCTCAAGAAGACACCGTCCTTCTGGTTCTTCGTTGGAGACAACTCTGCTTCCTGTTTGGTTTGGAGACAACTCTGCTTCCTCTTCCAGAAGACACCTTCCCTCTGGGTTCTTCTTTGGAGACAACTCTGCATCCTCTTCCAGAAGACACCTTCCCTCTGGATTGTTCTTTGGAGACAACTCTGCTTCCTCTTCCAGAAGACACCTTCCCTCTGGGTTGATCTTTGGAGACAACTCTGCTTCCTCTTCGAGAAGACACCTTCCCTCTGGGTTCTTCTTTGGAGACAACTCCGCTTCCTCCTCAAGAAGACACCGTCCTTCTGGTTCTTTGTTGGAGACAACTCTGCTTCCTCCTCAAGAAGACAGCGTCCTTCTGGTTCTTCGTTGGAGACAACTCTGCTTCCTCTTCCAGAAGACACCTTCCCTCTGGGTTCTTCTTTGGAGACAACTCCGCTTCCTCCTCAAGAAGACAGCGTCCTTCTGGTTCTTCGTTGGAGACAACTCTGCTTCCTCCTCAAGAAGACAGCGTCCTTCTGGTTCTTCGTTGGAGACAACTCTGCTTCCTCCTCAAGAAGACACCGTCCTTCTGGTTCTTTGTTGGAGACAACTCTGCTTCCTCCTCAAGAAGACAGCGTCCTTCTGGTTCTTCGTTGGAGACAACTCTGCTTCCTCTTCCAGAAGACACCTTCCCTCTGGGTTCTTTGGAGACAACTCTGCTTCCTCTTCGAGAAGACACCTTCCCTCTGGGTTCTTCTTTGGAGACAACTCCGCTTCCTCCTCAAGAAGACAGCGTCCTTCTGGTTCTTCGTTGGAGACAACTCTGCATCCTCTTCCAGAAGACACCTTCCCTCTGGATTGTTCTTTGGAGACAACTCTGCTTCCTCTTCCAGAAGACACCTTCCCTCTGGGTTGATCTTTGGAGACAACTCTGCTTCCTCTTCGAGAAGACACCTTCCCTCTGGGTTCTTCTTTGGAGATAACTCCGCTTCCTCCTCAAGAAGACAGCGTCCTTCTGGTTCTTCGTTGGAGACAACTCTGCATCCTCTTCCAGAAGACACCTTCCCTCTGGATTGTTCTTTGGAGACAACTCTGCTTCCTCTTCCAGAAGACACCTTCCCTCTGGATTGTTCTTTGGAGACAACTCTGCTTCCTCTTCCTGAAGACACCTTCCCTCTGGGTTCTTCTTTGGAGACAACTCTGCTTCCTGTTTGGTTTGGAGACAACTCCATACTTCAGATTTGGAGTGAACTAAACCTCAGAATTGGAAGGAGTCAACTCCATTACTCTACTTCCCATTTGGGGCAAATTCTGCAACCAATTTTCCTGCTTGAGGATAACACCCAAAAGTTTGAGGAAACATCTGCCCTCAAACAGCTTCCTGTTTGGTTTGGGCACAACTCCACACTTCAGATCTGGAGATGATTCTGCTTCCCGTTCGAGGAGAGATCTGCAGCCTGCTTCTGGCTTGAGGACAACTTGGCTTCCTGTTTGAGGAGACATCCGCCCTTGATTCCTCTTTGGAGACATATTTGATTCATATTTAGTTTGTGGACAACACTGCTTCATATTTGGAAAAGAGTTTCCTTCTGTTTGAGGAAACACCGTAATCCGTTTGAAGACTACTTGATTTGGGAACAGCTCTGCTTCATATATAGAGAGAATTTTGCTTCTTGTTTGAGGAGACATCTACAATCCATTTGAGGCAACTTGGCTTCCAATTGAGAAAACATCTGCCCTTGATTTCTCTTTGGAGACAACCCTGATTCATACTTGGTTTGGGGACAACTCCGCTTCATATTTGGAGAAAATTCTGTTTGAGGAGACACCACAATCTGCTTGAAGACTACTTGGCCTCCAATTGAGGAGACATCTGCCCTTGGTTCCTCTTTGAAGACAACCCTGATTCATACTTGGTTTGGGGACAACTCCACTTCATGTCTGGAGAGGATTCTCCTTCTGCTTGAGGAGACACCACAATCTGCTTGAAGACTACTTGGCCTCCAATTGAGAAGACATCTGCCCTTGGTTCTGTTTTGGAGACAACCCTGATTCATACTTGGTTTAGGGAGAGCTCTGCTTCATATTTGGAGAGGACTCTGCTTCCCGTTTGAGGAGACATCTGAAATCTGCTTGAGGACAACTTGACCTTCAGTTGAGGAGACATCTGCCCTTGGTTCCTCTTTGGAGATAACTCTGATTCATGTTTTGTTTGGGGAGAACTCTACTTCATATTTGGAGATGATTCTCCTGTTTGAGGAGACCCTGCAATCCTCTTAAAGTTACTTGGCTTCCAATTGAGAAGACATCTGTCCCTGGTTCCTCTTGGGAGACAAAACTGTTTCTTACTTGGTTTGGGACAACTCCATATTTGGAGAGGATTCTCCTTCTGCTTGAGGAGACACCACAATCCGCTTGAAGACTACTTGACATCCAATTGAGGAGACATCTGCCCTTGGTTCCTCTTTGAAGACAACCCTGATTCATGCTTTGTTTGGGGACAACTCCACTTCATATTTGGAGAGGAAACACTGCAATCCGCTGTTGAGGAGACATCTACCATTTGGTTCCTCCTTTCTGGAGACAACCCTGCTCCATCTTTGCTTTGAGGAGACATCTGTCCTGTTCTCCCTTTTTGGAGGTGTTGGCCAGCTCCCCGCCATGATGTCCCTGAGCGAGGCCCCTCAGACCCAGCTGTTCCCCTTTGAGCGCATCGTTGTCCTTCTCTCCTGCGCCCTCTCCTTCCTGGGCTCGGGGCTTCTGGTGGGCACCCATGCTTTGTGGCCTGAGCTGCGGACCCGGCCGCGCCAGCTGCTCCTCTACCTCTCCCTGGCCGACCTCCTCTCGGCCGCCTCCTACTTCTATGGGGTGCTGATGGACTTTGGCTCCTCCTCGTGGGATTGCGTGGCCCAGGGGGCCCTCTCCACCTTCGCCAACACCAGCTCCTTCTTCTGGACCATGGCCGTGGCCCTCTACTTGTATCTCACCATCGTCCAGGGCTCAGCCTCCAGCTCCGCGCTGCTTTGCTTCTTCCACGTGGTGAGGTTCGTGCCTTCCTCCTTCCTCTTCCTTCCCCCCAAAATAGAATGGTTTTGCACCCCCAACTCTTCAAGGCTACCCTTTTATGAGGGGAGAGAGGGTGAGTTATCTTTCTTGGGAGCCTCCAAGGAAATGGGTGGCTTCAGCGAAGAATCCAGAGCTTTACCATGGCACCCAAATTTGGAAGCATGCACTTGTCCCACTTGTGTGGACCCTCTCAATGTCCTCGTGGGTGATTTCTGTGGGATGCTCTTCCTTGGACTAATACCACAGATCCTAGGATTCCATAGCATTGAGCCATGGAAGGGATGTCAAGCTGCGTTAGATAGATAGATAGATAGATAGATAGATAGATAGATAGATAGATGGGTTGTTGAAGGTTTTTTGGGCTATATGGCCATAGTGTAGAGGCATTCTCTCCTGACGTTTTGCCTCAGAGGTAATCTTGCCGTAGAGGATGCTTGCCATAGATGCAGGCGAAACGTCAGGAGAGAATGCCTCTAGACCATGGCCATATAGCCCGAAAAAAACCTACAACAACCCAGTGATTCCGGCCATGAAAGCCTTCGACAATATAGATGGATGGATGGATGGATGGATGGATGGATGGATGGATAGATAGATAGATAGATAGATGATAGATAGATAGATAGATAGATAGATGGAATGGATAGATGGATGGATGAGGATGGATGGATGGTGGATAGATAGGATAGCTAGATAGATAGATAGATAGATAGGATGGAAAGAAGATGGATGGATAGATGGATAGGATAGATAGATAGATAGATAGATAGATAGATAGATAGATAGATATAGATAGATAGAATACAAAGGGTTTAATGAAAAGTAATGCCTCCACCTTCGTAACTCCTCAACAGATGGTAGTACTGGTATGCGGCAGGTACTGGCTTGTTCAGTAGACTCTCCTCTACAGTTCCATTTTGGCAGGAAGCCTTAGCATTGAACGGTTGTGTTGTTAAAGTGTGAAGTATGGAACCCTGCACAGATGGTCGGTCAATGCAACTTAAGCAATGTGCAGTCATTGAATTCTTGACAGCAGAAGGTGTCACCCCAAAGGAGATTCATCAGAGAATGCAAGCTGTTTATGGTGATTGTGTTGATGTGAGTACTGTGTGTCGTTGGGTGAGTAAGTTTAAAGATGTTGAGGTGACACTTTCTGCTGTTAAGAATTCAATGACTGCACGTTGCTTAAGTCGCATTGACCAACTGTCTGTGCAGGGTTCCATACTTCGCACTTTAACAACACAACCATTCAATGCTAAGGCTTCCTACCAAAATGGGACTGTAGAGGAGAGTCTACTGAACAAGCCAGTACCTGCTGCATACCAGTACTACCATCTGTTGAGGAGTTACGAAGGTGGATCTATCTATCTATCTATCTATCTCTATCTATCGTCTATCTATCTATCTATCTATCTATCTATCTATCTATCTATCTATCTATCTCTCTATCTATCTATCTATCTATCTATCTATCTCTTTCTATCTCTCTATCTATCTATCTATCTATCTATCTATCTATCTATCTATCTATCTATCTATCTATCATCTATCGATCTATCTATCTATCTATCTATCGATAGATAGATAGATAGATAGATAGATAGATAGATGATAGAGATAGATAGATAGATAGATAGATAGATAGATAGATAGATGATAGAGATAGATAGATAGATGATAGATGAATACATGTATAGATGTATAGATGTATAGATAGATAGATAGATAGATAGATAGATAGATAGATGCATAGATTGATTGATTGATAGGTATATAGATAGATCAATAGATGTATAGAGAGATAGATGGATGGAAGTATAGATTGATCAATAGATAGATGTATAGATAGATGGATAGATAGATAGATAGATAGATAGATAGATGTATAGATAGATAGATGTATAGATAGATAGATAAATAGATAGACAAAGTAGATGTATAGATAGATAGATAATAGATAGATATATATAGATGTATAGAATAGATAATAGATAGATGTATAGATAGATGTATAGATAGATAGATAGTTAGATAGATAGATAGATAGATAGATAGATAGATAGGCAGATATTGATATGGATAGATAGATAAATAGATAGATAGAGATAGATGTATAGATAGATGTATAGATAGAGAGGCAGATATTGATAGATGTATAGATAGAGAAATATATAGACAGATAGGTGTATAGATAGATAGATAAATAGATAGATAGAGATAGATGTATAGATAGATAAATAAATAGATAGATGTATAGATAAATAGATAGATGTATAAACATTAGATAGATAGACAGATAGATAGATGTATAGATAGATAAATAGATAGATGTATAGATGTATAGATAGATAGATGTATAGATAGAGAGGCAGATATTGATAGATGTATAGATAGAGAAATATATAGACAGATAGGTGTATAGATAGATAGATAAATAGATAGATAGAGATAGATGTATAGATAGATAAATAAATAGATAGATGTATAGATAAATAGATAGATGTATAAACATTAGATAGATAGACAGATAGATGTATAGATGTATAGATGTATAGATGTATAGATAGATAGATGTATAGATAGAGAGGCAGATATTGATAGATGTATAGATAGAGAAATATATAGACAGATAGGTGTATAGATAGATAGTTAAATAGATAGATAGATAGATAGATAGATAGATAGAGATGTACAGATAGATAAATAAATAGATAGATGTATAGATAAATAGATGTATAAACATATAGATAGATAGATAGATAGATAGATAGATAGATAGATAGAAGAAATAGAAGATAGACAGACAGATGTGAATGTTTGAGGGAAGATCAAGTAAATGTTCTTAATGGTTGAATGACTTGCTCAGTGGAGCCTTTCCCTGCCTTTATGTTTGTGTTTTGGTTTGGGGTTTTTCCTTTTGGCTTGGCACGAGACCCTCTCCCCGTCTGAAGCCGAGGAAAAAGCCTTTATTATGATGCTGGGCGAGATGGGGGTGTCACATGCCGGCCCCATTAGAGAGTGACAGAGCAATCCTTCAATCCCGCAGCCTGCCAGCTTTGCAAAGGGAATTATGTGGGAAAGGATCCAGTGGGGAAATTTTTTTCTGGCGTACGTTTGCATTCCTGGCACAAAGAAAGGTAAACATTGGCAACTCTGCAAACATCCAAGTCGAGGGCAAAGGTTTGTTTAACAAGCGGGGAAAGGCATTGATCTGAGCATGTGTCTACGACGCAGAAAAGTGTTTCTCAACTTTCCGAATGCCGTGACCCCTTAATGCAGTTCCCGTGTGGTGGTGGCCCCCAACCATCACATTATTTTCGTTGCTACTTCGTAACTGTAATTTTGCTACTGTTATGAATCGTCATGCAAATATCAGCTATGCAGGATGTATTCTCATTCACTGGACCACATTTGGCACCAATACCCCATACGCCCAAAGCAGGGATTTTGTCATTTGGGAGTTGTAGTTGCTGGGATTTATAGTTCACCTACAATCAAAGAGCATTCTGAACCCCACCAATGATGGAATTGAACCAAACTAGGCATACAGAACTCCCACGACAACAGAAAATACTGAAAGGGTTTGGTGGGCATTGACCTTGAGTTTGGAAGTTGTAGTTCACCTACATCCAGAGAGCACTGTGGACTCAAACAAAGATAGATCTGGACTAAACTTGGCATGAATACTCATTATGCCCAGATGTGATCATTGGTCGAGTTTGAGGAAAATAGACCTTGACCTTTGGGAGTTGAAGTTGCTGGGATTTATAGTTCACCCACAATCAAAGAGCATTCTGAACCCCACCAATGATGCAATTGAACCAAACTTGGCACACAGAACTCTCATGACCAACAAAAAACACTGGAAGGATTTGATGTGCGTTGAGCTTGACTTTGGGAGTTGTAGTACACCTACATCCAGAAAGCACAATGGACTCAAACAGTGATAGATCTGGACCAAACTTGATACGAATACTCAATATACTCAAATGTGAAGACTGGTGAAGTTTGGGGGAAATAGACCTTGATATTTGGGAGTTGTAGTTGCAGAGTTTTATAGTTCACCTACAATCAAAAAGCATTCTGAACCGCACCAACGATGCAATAGAACCAAACTTGGCACACAGAACTCCCATTATAAACAAAAATACTGGAAGGGTTTGGTGGGCATTGACCTTGAGTGTGTGAGTTGTAGTTCACTTACATCCAGAGAGAGCTGTGGACTCAAACAGTGATGGATCTGGACCAAACTTGACACGAATACTTAATATACTCAAATGTGAAGACTGGTGAAGTTTGGGGGAAATAGACATTGACATTTGGGAGTTGTAGTTGCTGGGATTTATAGTTAACCTGCAATCAAAGAGCATTCTGAACTTCACCAACAATGGAATTGAACCAAACTTGGCACACAGGACTCCCCTGACCAAGAGAAAGTACTGGGTTGGGTGGGCATTGACCTTGAGTTTGGGAGTTGTAGTTCACCTACATCCAGAGAGCACTGTGGACTCAAACAATGATAGATCTGGACCAAAATTGGCACAGATACTCAAAATGCCCAGATGTGATCATTGGTCAAGTTTGAGGAAAATAGACCTTGACATTTGGGAGTTGTAGTTGCTGGGATTTATAGTTCACTCACAATCAAAGAGCATTCTGAACCTCACCAATGATAGAATTGGGCCAAATACATCACACAGTCCTAGACGCTTGGGAAGTGTTCGACTTGTGATTTTGTGATACGAAACCCGGCATATAGATCTCGTTTGCTGTGACATACTGTGCTTTTGTGTCAGAATAATAATAATAATAATAATAATAATAATAATAATAATACGCTTTATTTATATTCCGCTTGGGAAGTGTTTGACCTGTGATTTTGTGATATGAAATCCAGCATATAGATCTCGTTTGCTGTGACATACTGTGCTTTTGTGTCAGTAAAATAATAATAATAATAATAATAATAATAATAATAATAATAATAATAATAAATCACACAGTCCTAGACGCTTGGGAAGTATTCGACTTGTGATTTTGTGATACAAAATCCAGCATATAGATCTCATTTGATGTGACATACTGTGCTTTTGTGTCAATAATAATAATAATAATAATAATAATAATAATAATAATAATAATAATACCACAGTCCTAGACGCTTGGGAAGTGTTCGACTTGTGATTTTGTGATATGAAATCCAGCATGCTGTGACATACTGTGTTTTGTGTCAGTAATAATAATAATAATAATAATAATAATAATAATAATAATAATAATAATGTATTGTCGAAGGCTTTCGAG